GAGGCTCCCAGCTGCACATGAGCCTTTTAAAAGAGATACTTGCCCGGCCCAGCCTGTGAAGGTTAGTCAGGTGGTTGCCATCTTCTGGATGAGTTTCACCTCCTCATTCAGGAAGTGGTTCTACAGGAAGTCACAGAGACAGGGGAGTCTGGGAGGCAGAACCCATGGCACGCAGATCCCAAACAGCCTGGCTCAGTTTCTTCCCAAACCATGGCGGCTTCTATGGCATCCAGGGTTTTAACCCGCTCATCTTGGGATGGTTTCTGCACGTCCTGGAAGAGGGTGCGACCATCCCTGCTGGTTTTGCATCTTCAAGAGCCCCTCAGCGCCCTCCCGCTTCTCCTAAAACACCTCACAGAAGGGGCCCACGCCCTCCAGAGCCACATTATCAAGGTGGAAATAGAAGCCCAAAGAGAGGTAGGTGCAGGAGGAGGCCTGCAGACACATGTTGACCAGGCGGTTGGCAGCAGCCTCCCCCTCAGTGGAATAATTCTGAGTTGCTCAGCAAGAAGGAAATAAGCTCAAAAACTGGTGTTGGCTGGTCCCAGAGGCAGATGATGGCTGAGATAATGATTCCAAAGGATGTGACTGGGAGAGTTTGGAGGGTGGCCCGAGGCTGGAAGAAGGGATGTCCTGGGTCTGTTCTGTCCAAACATTGTTGATAATGAATATAACACACACAATATGTGCTGACCCATTGCTAGTGGCTGCTTATTCTTTTTCCAGAGCAACCCCTATGTATCCCTTTTGTAACACTCCTTACACTTGTAATTATTTGTTCATTGTCTTTCCCATGAACTGTAAATCCAGGAGGGCAGTCTTTTTTGTTCATCACTGAATCTCCAGTGTTTATCTCAGTGCCTACCATGTAATAGGTGCTCAATAAACATTTGTTGAATGAACTGATGCATTCTTAACCTTAGATTCACATTTCTAAGCTTAATCAACTTAATTTGTAAATGTAGAAGTCTGTACTTCCTAGCAGCTCCTGCCTTCTGGGAAGTATTATCTCCAAGCATACAGAATAATTGGATTCTTCTGGTTAAAATTATGTTGGGTAGACTTACTTCACATATATATAGCTACCTTCAGGGTAAATCTTTACATGTCTCAAGTGGAAGGTGAGGATATGGATTACCCTAGGTTAATCTTTTTTTTTTTTAACGGAATCACCCAATGCAAACCATCATTCAGTCCATTCCCTCAAATATTTATTGAGCTACTACTATGTATCAGGCCTTATAGGCTGAATATTGTATTAGTTTCCTAGAGCTGCTCTCATAATGACACACACAACAGAAATCTATTCTCTCACAGTTATGGAGGTCGGAAGCTTACCCCCTCCTAAGGCTCTAGGAGAGAATCCTTCCTTGCCTCTTCTAGGTCCCAGTGGCTCCAGGCATTCCTTGCCTTGTGGCTGCTTAACTCCACAGTCTCTGCCTCTGTCTTCACATGAACTTCTCTTCTTTGTCTTCTCTTTTATTTCCTTGTCATTGGATTTGGGTCCACCCAGCTAACACAGGATGACTGATATCCTTAACATACTTGCACCTACAAATTCTCTCTCTTTCTCTCTCTCTTTCTCTTTTTCTGTTTATTGAGCACCTATTACCTGGTAGGCACTGAGATAAACACTGGAGATTCAGTGACGAACAAAAAAGACTGGGGGCGCCTGGGTGGCTCAGTTGGTTGAGCGACTGCCTTTGGCTCAGGTCGTGATCCTGGAGTCCCGGGATCAAGTGCCGCATGGGGCTCCCCGCTTGGCGGGGAGTCTGCTTCTCCCTCTGACCCTCCCCACTCTCATGTGCTCTCTTTCATTCTCTCTCTCTCAAATAAATAAATAAAATCTTTAAAAAAAAAAAAGACGAAAACTTTAGTGAGATCT